AGGTTGAGAAACACTGCTCTAGATCACAATCATCTGAAAATAAAGACTTGAAAGCTATGCCAAGAACCAGCTGATCCTGGCAGGACTACTTAGGACCAGCTTAGGAGCTGAAGGAAGCCAGACTTGGCTGTGGGCCTAGGCAGAGTCGGAGGCTGCTGTGAATTAGGGATCATGGCCAACTGAGCTTGGAAAAGTTGCTAGAACAAGGCTGAGCCTTGAGGCCTGGTTTCAGTCTCTCCCAGGCTTTTGACTTGACTTGTCTTCTGACTTGACACGTCTGCCCCTTCTGACCCTGTCCTTCCAGGGAATGGTGTGTGCCAAATTTAGACTGAATTTACAACCACCATCTCTGGTGGTTCTTCCCTTGGAAAGTGAGTCTGACTGTGCATGATGCAGAAGAGCATGTGTCTGTGTGTGTCTGGGTGGTGTAAAGATACAGCCCAGCTCTCTCCTTCTGTCACCGAGCCAGAACTGAACTCTTTCTGCTCAGCAAACATCATCATTCTGCCTGTTAGCTGGCCCTGCAGCAGCAGAAACAGACTGACAAATCACATCAGCCTATTCCCCTCCCCTCAACCCTCTGCTTTCAGACCAGCAGAGTAGCGCAGCGGGAGCGTGCTGGGCCCATAACCCAGAGGTCGATGGATCGAAACCATCCTCTGCTAGGCCAAGGGAGATTTTTTGTTTTGTTCTGGTCACCACGCAAAAGGAAACAAAACTTCAAGAACACGGCCACACAGCCCGGAAGACCCACACCAGCCATCGAAGAAGGTGGGTGTTCGGCTGCTGCTGTTGCTGCTGGTGGATTTCTTTCGTTTTGGGCTGAAATGTGTAAGATGCAGCTCCTTTTCACTCACTGTCCTGAAGCCTTGAAGCCATCAGTTTTTGCTGTTCCTCAGCTTCGCTTTCTGAGTGAACCTGACAGAGGCGCCCTTTGAATCTGGAGTTTTCATCTTCATCAGAAGAACACATGTGCACCCTGATATTGCGTGATAAGCTCCATCCCCTACATACAGTGCTGTGTGTACAAAAGAGGGACAGTTTGCCTTGCGAGGCATGTTTTATGATTTGCTCTTCCCTGCAGAGGTCCATGGAGCCCGGGGATCTGATGGCCTCCTTGCTGAGACCGTTTGGCTGCACACCAAGAAGGATCTCTGCAATTGTGCCCTTGGTGGACAGCTTTGTGGTCTCGTGGCCTAATACTTCTTGCAATCTTCCCAGTGACATAGGATCTTGCAACCAGGTTCAGATCACCACCAACACGTTCTTTCCTTTAGCCTTTTCATGCCAAGAAGTCAAGCTATCAGATGGCCAAAGCTGTCCAATCAAGCAAAAGACCCAACCAGTTGGAATTTGAACAGACACATGGAGAGCTTAATGGGTTAGCAGCCCATCCCCTTCACCATACAGCGAAGGGCAGGGCACTGGGAGAGCCTGAACCAGTATCCTTCTGGTTAACAGTCAGATGAGCTAACCTATTGCACCACAGAATCAGGTACTGTTTCCTCTCCATGTCCCTTGGTTGGAGGATTCATGGCTCATCCTTGCTAGGTAACATGAGGTCCCAGTAGGCACACCTTTCCAGGGGAATTCCCTTTCCATCCAACAAAGGGGTCTAGTGCAAGGATGCTGGACCCATAACTCAGAGGCTGATGGGTCGAGAAGCATCTGCTACTAAGCAGTGGATGTCATGAATGTTTACCCTGGACAGGACTCAGGAGAACAGGGGTCTCTTCCCACTGTTCTTCAAGAGGCAGGGTCTTACTCCTTCACCATTCTTTGGCTGCAGGGAGAGGCAGGGCTGTATTTCTGTTCTTGAGAAAGTAAAAATAGCATAGGTTTTGCTGGTTCTTCTCAAAGAGCAGCCTCTCTTCAGAATGGTTTCTTGGTTTTTCTTGAGATTGTAGAAGGTTGGACTAGGTGATCCTTCTGGTCCCTTCCTCCTTTATAATTCTACGATTCTCTAACCCAGAGTTTCTCAACCTTGGCAACTTGAAGATGTGTGGGCTTCAACTCTCAGAATTCCCCAGCCAGCATGGCTGGCTGGGGAATTCTGGGAGTTGAAGTCCACACATCTTCAAACTGCCAAGGCTGAGAAACATTGCTCTAACCAGTTTCATAATTGGCCCCATGCTACAAAACTGCAAAGATGGAGTTGTTTTCCATGTGTCTTTTTTATGCAGAGACTGCTGGGAACAGCTTCTGAAGCAGCTATCCAAGCCCAGAAAAAAACACAACAGTCTTGACAATTCCAAAAAGAAATGCTCTGTTCACACTGCTTTGTATTCCAAAGCACTTATTTCGGAAGATTTGCACAGCCATAACAAGAAATCATCCATAGCCTGGGAGAATGCTTAGAAGGGTCTTGTTATCCAAGAACATTTGCTGATGTGTTCTGGGGCTGGCATCACTTTTATGAGAACAAAGTCTTGGAAGCAGAATTAGATTACCTTAATGATCCTGCAGACATTAACGTTGGATGCAATCTGAAGAACCAAGTAAACAAGCTGTTGATTTCTACTGGGAATATAGATCAGGTTACTGAAGAAGACCAGAAGACATCCGTGAGCTAACACTCTGTGGAAGGATGGGTTGTAAAAAGAGTGTAGGCAACTGGAAATTGTGTACCTTCCCCTTTATTTCTAAAGCACCTCAGCGTCCAGATGGGGGAGAGATTGTTTAAAAAGCCCTGTGTTTGGAACAGCTGGGTGTGGTGGTAGTAGTGTGGTAGTGTGTTGGGTGTGTAGAAGAGAGGCAGAAGGAAGCAAGGGAGAGAGCAGCAGTCAAGGTTTGTGGAAAAGCCCAGAGAATAGTAATAGATATTCTAGGGATAACAGTAGTATGTAATAGAGTGATATAATAGTAAGTTGAGCGATAGAAATATAGGTTAGGTGAAAACTGTATTAGTGGGACACCTCAGTAGAAAAAAAAAAAACACTTTTGGTACTGTGAATGTTGGTTTTCTAAGTAAAGGACCCCCAATATAAAAAGGGAAGAGAAAAGTCTTTGTGTGCAGTGTCTCCTTGGGAATATCTTGATGAGTCTGGGTGATCTGCCCTTGGATATTAAACAACCCTGTGACTCACTCACACCTCTGGCAGTTTCTCTTTTAAAGATTTGAACTTTTATTTTTTATTTTTCTCATTCAAGTCTATTTACTTCTGCATATTCCATAGAGAGGCTTTTAAAATATCTTTATGAATTTGGGAAAGTCCATGTTCAGTTTTTTTTTTGGATACATTTTTTATGCATTATCTACGTTATGCATATTTTGGCCTGGAATACTTTGCCCACCCTGGTTATTGCATTCACATGAACGTGCAAATAGTTTATTGTTCACAATCAGGTGGAAACACTTAAAGCAGGAGACGCTAACCAAAAGAGAAACCCCTTCTGGGGTTTGGTTTCTGGGCTGCTGAGCTGGGCAGAACTTTTTGGAAAGCCAATGCTCACTGAACATTAGTGAATTTTATGCTGATAATGTACTTACAAAGTTGCATGATGCTAGCTTAACATGGGCTACAAACACTTTAGAGAAGAGCCAAAGTAGCTCAGTTGGGAGAGCGTTAGACTGAAGATCTAAAGGTCCCTGGTTCAATCCCGGGCTTTGGCAAAGCTTGTGAGTAGGGCATATTTTTATAGTCTCTTCTCAGACCTCTTGATACATGATCCTCCATGACCAGAAGCTCTAGCCAAAGGAAACTGGTCTTCAGAAGACTGGGATTCTCAAACTACAGGTTGCAAACCCGGGGTGGATTGTGAGCAAAT